AGACTAGACTATAGACTAGACTATAGACTAGACTATAGACTAGACTATAGACTAGACTATAGACTAGACTATAGACTAGACTATAGACTAGACTATAGACTAGACTATAGACTAGACTATAGACTAGACTATAGACTAGACTATAGACTAGACTATAGACTAGTCTATAGACTAGACTATAGACTAGACTATAGACTAGACTATAGACTAGACTATAGACTAGACTATAGACTAGACTATAGACTAGACTATAGACTAGACTATAGACTAGACTATAGACTAGACTATAGACTAGACTATAGACTAGACTATAGACTAGACTATAGACTAGACTATAGACTAGACTATAGACTAGACTATAGACTAGACTATAGACTAGACTATAGACTAGACTATAGACTAGACTATAGACTAGACTATAGACTAGACTATAGACTAGACTATAGACTAGACTATAGACTAGACTATAGACTAGACTATAGACTAGACTATAGACTAGACTATAGACTAGACTATAGACTAGACTATAGACTAGACTATAGACTAGACTATAGACTAGACTATAGACTAGACTATAGACTAGACTATAGACTAGACTATAGACTAGACTATAGACTAGACTATAGACTAGACTATAGACTAGACTATAGACTAGACTATAGACTAGACTATAGACTAGACTATAGACTAGACTATAGACTAGACTATAGACTAGACTATAGACTAGACTATAGACTAGACTATAGACTAGACTATAGACTAGACTATAGACTAGACTATAGACTAGACTATAGACTACTATAGACTAGACTATAGACTAGACTATAGACTAGACTATAGACTAGACTATAGACTAGACTATAGACTAGACTATAGACTAGACTATAGACTAGACTATAGACTAGACTATAGACTAGACTATAGACTAGACTATAGACTAGACTATAGACTAGACTATAGACTAGACTATAGACTAGACTATAGACTAGACTATAGACTAGACTATAGACTAGACTATAGACTAGACTATAGACTAGACTATAGACTAGACTATAGACTAGACTATAGACTAGACTAGACTATAGACTAGACTATAGACTAGACTATAGACTAGACTATAGACTAGACTATAGACTAGACTATAGACTAGACTATAGACTAGACTATAGACTAGACTATAGACTAGACTATAGACTAGACTATAGACTAGACTATAGACTAGACTATAGACTAGACTATAGACTAGACTATAGACTAGACTATAGACTAGACTATAGACTAGACTATAGACTAGACTATAGACTAGACTATAGACTAGTCTATAGACTAGACTATAGACTAGACTATAGACTAGACTATAGACTATATTATGGACTACATTACAGATTAGACTGTAGACTATAGAGTAAACTGTAGACTAGAATATAGACTAGACTATAGACCAGACTAAAGACTAGACTGGACTATACTATAAACTATAGACTTGACGATATTTTCTATAAATGCTCCTATATAAGGAATGATTTTGATGAATTATCTTTAGAAACCAATTTTTTATAATAAAATTTGTCACAAATTGTTTTTTTTTTTTTTTTTTTTTTTTACAAAAGTATAAAACAATCTAATATACATTTGCATCTATACAGTGTTCTTAACAATTCCAAAAATATTTCTTTCCATTTTAGTTCAAAACACTAAGAAAAACGAATGCTAAACAAACATTATTTATTTAACAACCTTTGCCTTTAATTGATAAAACTTTTGTCAAATTTATTATTTATTTTTGTTAAATTTACAAAAAAAAAAAAAAACGAAAAACAAAACATTTATAATATTTCCAACCAAAAATTTTTTTATATAATTTCTTTAAGTTTGCAAAACGAAAATTAAATTTAAAAAAACAAAATGACTCAATTTGCTCTAACAGCTCTTTAAAAAGAGTATAAACTTTTCATTTTTTTATAAACATATTTTTATTTTTAAAATAATATTAAAAAAGAAAAACTAAATATTGAGTCCAGTCACGTATTTTACTCATTTATAAATGTTTTATGTTTTATTATTACTTTTTTTTTCATAAATTAACTACAAAAAAGAGAGAGTAAGAGAAGAGGGGATGGATACTTTCATTATTAACTTAGCTGATAAGAGAGACTAAAATTAAATAAACATAACAAGAAAAAACTTAAAATATATGAGAAAAACTAAAAATGTTTTAAACTACATACATAATTTTTGATATTTATTGTCTGTTTTTTAAGTGAATTAATAATAAAAAAAAACAAAAAAGAAAGTTTTTTTAAGGAATCTTAAAAACCCCCCTAAACAAAGTAATTAAAAATTATTTTTAAATAAAAATAAAACAGATTTAAACGTAAAAAAATCAAGGCTTCCAAAAAGCAAAGACATTAAAAACTTAAATAAAAAAGCAAAATTTAAAATTAACTAAATAAATAAAAGAAAAATAACTTACTTAGATGGCTAAATATAATTTAACAACAAAAAAAAATAATTCATTAAATAAATAAAGACAAGACACACACACATTTTAAATAACTCTCCAAAAAGTTAAATGTTTCATATAAAAACAAAAACAAGAAAAATCCATTAATAAATTAAAAACAATTGTCATAAGTTTTTCGTTTTATTATTATTTACGCTGTGTAAACTATTTTAAGTATAATTTAACAAAAAAAAAAAGAAGAAAAAGTAAAATGTTTGAAAAAAAAATAAGATTTTATTTAATGACTGTGACTACTCATATTATACATTTTTTAAGCATACACAAAAAATCCATTTAAATGAAAGAAAAAAAAACAAAAAATGTGCGCTTTATTATTACTAAAAGTTATTATTATTATTATTGATTATGGATCAGTAAATAAATCTATATATATTTAAACAAGACAACAGCATGAAGAAAACAAAAACATAAATATTAATATATTAAAGAAAAGATTGATGCTAAATGTGTATAAAAAAAATATTAAAAACAATTCCTGATACACTACACTCCCTCTTTCCAAAAACCAAAAAAATTATATTAACAAACCCAACAAACCCTTTTCCTTCCACTTATAGCTTATTTAATGTATTTATTGTAATTCATCATAAAGTAACCGAAACAAAACCTTTAATGACAAACAGTAAAATTTAAATTTAACACTTTTTAGTATTTTAAAACAACAACAAAAATTCCCATAGTTTTCATAAAAGATTCAATTAAAAACAACATACATAAGTCATCAATCGTTTAACTAAATAAAAATAAAAACAAAAAATATATAAAATAAAGTATTATCACACGAAAATAAGAAAATAAAAATCATTAATAATAATACCAGGCATCATATACAACATATACATACATATTAAAACAACATTATTTAATAATAGCAACATGAATAAAACTCATTTCGAAAATAAAAAAACAAAAAACTTTCATATAATGAAGACAAAAACAAACAAAAAAAAAACTAAAAATTTCTAAATGTGGTTTTATTTGGCAAAAAAAAAAAAAAACAAACAAACAAAAGTAAGATTTTTAAGTTGTCCTAAACAGGTGCAATTTGCTATTTCTGTTGTTCAAAACTTTCGGTCAATGCTTGGATCCGGTACTAACCACTGTGGGCTTTATATCGACTTTAGATCCCTTAGAGTTGTCACACTATATGAATCATTTATAAAAGAAACAAGTAAGAGTGCTATATTCGGCTGTGCCGAATCTTATATACCTTTCACCACAGTGTATTTAAAAAATATCAATTCTATAAAATTTTAATTTATTTCATTTTCCCGTTTATATCATTATTATAGCAGTAGCAAAACGAACAACAACGCTAAACGAAATAAACACACAAAAAAACAAATACACATGGAAGTCAAACCAACAGGCATTCAAACATACGAAACGAAATACACAAAAAAACAAAATACACAAGGCAATAAAACCAACAGACATCCAAACATACGAAACTGAATACACCAAAAAACAAAAACAATATATACAAGGCAATGAAATATACGAAACGAAATACTCACAAAAAAGCAAAAACAAAATACACAACGCAAAGAAAACAACAGACATCCAAACATACGAAACTGAATGCATCAAGAAACAAAAACAATATACACAAGGCAATGAAACACACAGCCATCCAAACATATGAAACGAAATACTCAATGAATAAGCAGTGTTGTTGTTGTTGCTTATATCAAAGCATGAAAAAAATTGTCTTTTTTATGAAATTTTCAGAGGTTGTATCGGATTTTTGCTCATATCTCCGGTATTTATGGACCGATTTTGCTGATTTTAAATAGCGATCTTCCCGAAAGCATGTCTAATAAAATTATGGAAGATTCGGATCTCGCCGATATCTGGGGTCCTCTAAAAACTGATTTCAACAAACATACAGACAGACAGACGGACAAACAGACGGACATAGTGTAATCGACTCTGCTATCTATAAGAATCCAGAATATATAATAACTTTAGAAGAAATGAGGAAATGTGATTGGATTTGAATGAATATCATTTCATTTCGAATGGCCTGTTGGAACAGGTCTGCAATATGCGAAATCAATTGGTTCATCACAATCGCAATTAATAGTAAAGATCATCTTAGTATGCATTATATAAATCTCAAATTTTTGGTCTATTATTAAAGCCGCCCTTGTTGATGGGATGTATCCTAATATATGTATGTATGTATATACAGGAAATTTTTTTTTGGTTATATAGGCCGATTCTCGTAAAACTTGGAGAAAGGATTTGTTTTTAATTTTTAAGAATTTTTTATCCATCCCTGCATTATTTCTCACACATTTTTTGTGTTTGCTCTGTTTTGTTGTTATAAACAATATATTTGCTGCCAAAATCCAACTTTCTGATCTCTCGAATTCCGTTTATATATAAAATTGTAGAAAATTTAAAAACTAAACGTAATTGAAAACTTAGCCGGCTTACAGTAGATTTTAAGCCGCCGTCGACATATTTGGTGTCAGTCGCCGCCGCCGTTAATATTTGTCGGCGCAGGGCTCTGGTGCGGTTTTGTTTTTTTACGCGAAAATTTATAATTTTTATTAATTATTGTTAATATTACACAAAAATGCCTGAAACTTTAGTAAACAATGAAGTAGAGACCTTAACAAATGAAGCAGTAAAATGTGAGTCCACAGAATCTCCCAGTACGGAGAAGGCGGCAAAAACTGAAAGCAACAATGAACAAGAAACAACAACTCCTGTGAAAACACCAAATTATGATTTAAACAAATTTCGCTTGCAGCGTATACTTAACAATAATACTCGTAATAAGAGTATAGCTTTATTGGGTAATTTCCCCGATTTATCGCCAAGTGATAAGGCCATTGTTATATTTGAGAAGAAGGCATTCCAAGAAAGTGAGGTTGCTACCGGCAAAGACGAAGAAGAAGAAGAGAATGCCAAAGAAAATGGCAGTAAGGAAAGTGTTAAAGAAAAAGTGGAGACGGCAGAGGAGGAGGAGCCAATGAAACCTACTTATTTTTGCAGTGATTTAATAGTACAAACACAATTTATCAATAATATTTATGGCAGCTATCAATGTACACCACCGGCTAAATTAAGTGGTAAGTTAATTGTCTTAAACTTTGGTTATTTTGAAAAGTAAAAAAAAATGCACTACTTCAATATGGGTGGCACTAATTTATCAGTTGTTGTTTCAATAACGTTCGGCCGTCTCCAAACGATCATACATAACAAGGTTTAACATTAAATGAAAGCTCTGCGACTGTCATGGATACATCTTTTAATTAGTTTTATTTTGGATTATAATAACAAATAAATTTCTAATGTTTCTTTAAACTATCTATAAAACTCCGATACAGTCTTACTTCTTAAGTTTCTAATATATATATTTTTTTAAATTTAGGTGTTAAGGCCACTGTTGTTTATCCTGCTACTGATAAACACATCGAAAAGTATTCCATTTGTCAGAAATTTGTAATAAATGAAACTCCTGAGCTATACAAAGAAATCACACTTCCTTACATTACCACCAGTCAATTTTCCTTAGAGGTAAGTACAGAAATCTGTTTATTAAATGTATTTGAAAGAAATATTTGGACTTTTATTAACTGATACTTAGTACGGTTCATATGAAAAACTGATAAATACTTTTCCGTTCATAAATTTTCCTGAAAACACACACACAAACATAACTTCCTTTTTTCAGTGGGTTTACAATATTTTGGAACATAAACAAGAAAAAGAACGTATTATTTTTGAAGATCCTGATCCAGAAAATGGTTTCATACTCTTGCCTGATCTTAAATGGGACGGACGTAATGTTGAAAATCTGTATGTCTTAGCTATAACTCATAAACGTGATATTAAATCTCTGCGAGATCTCAATTCTTCACACCTTCCATTATTGCGCAATATACGCTCACGTATTGCTGAGGTAATAGAAACGCGTTACGGTATACTAGCTACTCAATTACGCATGTATTTCCATTATCAACCTTCGTTCTATCATCTGCACATACACATTAATCCTGTACGCAATGATGCTCCCGGTATTTGGTGTGAAAAATCTCATATGTTAGATACTGTTATAAATAATTTGGAACTTTTACCCGATTATTATCAAAAAGCTACTCTGCCGTTTGTTTTGTATGATGGCAATAAACTTTTGGAATTATATGAAGCTAAAATGACCATTAGAAAAGCACTTAAACGTTCAGCGGAAAAAGTGGATGCTACAGCAGAGGAGAAAGATGATGTTGACGATGTTAAAGCTAAAAAACCAAAACTTAGCGAAGAGACTAATGAAGCTTTGGACGAACCAAAGGCTGTGACTAACTAATAATTGTGTTTGTGTTATTATAATAGTATTGGACTGTTATGATTAACGTACTTAGAACATACATACTTTTTTTGCAATTATAATTAAGTCAAAATTTTAACATTTTATTATCTTTAAAAATTAATTAAATGAAGAAACTATTTACGTTTTAAATCTTGAAAAATATGAAAACTGTTTTAATTGAAAATGAGTGAAAAGAATTTACAAAGTTTAAATTATGGATATAATTTGAAAATTATCACATTTTTAACGTTTTACTGATGTCTAGAGTTCAGTCCTGAAAGATCACTGGTTATGCGACGATAAATGATAGACAGACAGATATGTATCGATCACTCTATCTATCTATCTAGGTATCGATCACTCTATCTATCTATCTATCTAGGTATCTATCTAGGTATCTATCTAGGTATCTATCTAGGTATCTATCTAGGTATCTATCTATCTATCTATCTATCTATCTATCTATCTATCTATCTATCTATCTATCTATCTATCTATCTATCTATCTATCTATCTATCTATCTATCCATCTATCTATCTATCTATCTATCTATCTATCTATCTATCTATCTAGGTATCTATCTAGGTATCTATCTATCTATCTATCTATCTATCTATCTATCTATCTATCTATCTATCTATCTATCTATCTATCTATCTATCTATCTAGTCTATCTAGGTATCTATCTAGGTATCTATCTATCTATCTATCTATATATCTATCTATCTATCTATCTATCTATCTATCTATCTATCTATCTATCTATCTATCTATCTATCTATCTATCTATCTATCTATCTATCTATCTATCTATCTATCTATCTATCTATCTATCTATCTATCTATCTATCTATCTATCCATCTATCTATCTATCTATCTATCTATCTATCTATCTATCTATCTATCTATCTATCTATCTATCTATCTATCTATCTATCTATCTATCTATCTATCTATCTATCTATCTATCTATCTATCTATCTATCTATCTATCTATCTATCTATCTATCTATCTATCTATCTATCTATCTATCTATCTATCTATCTATCTATCTATCTATCTATCCATCTATCTATCTATCTATCTATCTATCTATCTATCTATCTATCTATCTATCTATCTATCTATCTATCTATCTATCTAGGTATCTATCTAGGTATCTATCTATCTATCTATCTATATATCTATCTATCTATCTATCTATCTATCTATCTATCTATCTATCTATCTATCTATCTATCTATCTATCTATCTATCTATCTATCTATCTATCTATCTATCTATCTATCTATCTATCTATCCATCTATCTATCTATCTATCTATCTATCTATCTATCTATCTATCTATCTATCTATCTATCTATCTATCTATCTATCTATCTATCTATCTATCTATCTATCTATCTATCTATCTATCTATCTATCTATCTATCTATCTATCTATCTATCTTTATAGCAATCTTTCTATCCATCCATCTATCTATCTATTGCAAATTGACTCCATTTTTCTTATTTGTATAAAAAACATCAATCATTTTCTTCTATTTTGTTTCATTTTTTATTTGTTTTCTTTAAATAATACATATTTGTTGTGTTTTTTTATTTTGTATAATGTATATTATATAATATAATTAATTAATAATGAACAACTTAGTTAAGCAAAATTGTTTAAACATCACCAAGTGAATTGAACGTTGTTTTTCCGGTTGTTTAATGAGTAATTTGTTTTTCAGCTTTCTTCTGTAAAGTTTTTCTTTAATAATAGTAGTATATGAATTGGTTTATCTTTGTTTATATAAAGTTATACATATATTTTTCTTTTTTTGTTTAAACATTGAAATTTGAACTTAAAAATTGCATTTAAATAAATATAAATATTATTTTCTTTTGCTTTAATAACTATTCAAAGGTAAAAACTTTAAGCTCTTAACTAAAAACCAAAAGAATAATAACTATACTCAGGCCATATATATATTATGAAGTATTTATGTTTGTAATGTGTCTGTAAACTCAAGCTGGGAAAATATAAACGACTTAAAAGCTAAAATAAATGTTTATATAAGTATATAAATGTAAATAAAACTTATTATTCTTTAAGGATATTATGAATATATAAAGCAAAAGATGACATCAATACAAAGTGAAGGAGATAGATAAAGAGGGAAAAGTATTTCTTAGTTAAAACATGTCTTGTTTTTTGTATTTATTTATATTATACGACTATGCCAGTGGAAGGTTCTGCTCCCAAAATATCCGATAATCTTTGTTGATAATTGGCCAAAGTATTGGAATCTGTTATGCCGCGTGCTTTGCACGATAATTGTAAAGCGTTAAGATATTGTAATTCTGTGAATTGTAAACCACGCTCCACCAGAGTGGTGAGTATGACCTAAACATTTACAAAATTTAAATTTATTAATAAAAATATCTATAATTTAAGTTATTAAGTTAATGTTAACACTTACATCAGGTTCCATGCATAACAATTCATAAAATTGTTTAGCTTGATCGAGTGCTACCTCCCGCGAGGCTGTTATATTACTTAAGGTTTGTTGTAAGGCCAAAGCATTACGACACATACGTTGTACGGTGATTTGATCTATTTGTTCAATAGTATTGGAGGCTTGTATTAAAATACGTGCTGCAAAGTGTGCCAAACCTTCAAAGATATACTGAAAAGAAAATGGGAAGAAAGATAAGTAAGTATTTGACTAGCAGCAAACGAAAAGTAAGTATAAACATGTATAAATAGGAAATATGATTTGATCCTTTACGACTATAGCAAAATGCAAGTGAATTGCTTTTAATTTCTCCAAGATATGTAGTGAAAACCAAACAAAATCAAAACCTATTTAACTATTTTTTTGAATAACTCTTGAACTATAAAAGCTATCTGCATAAAACTTGTGTCTTATGATAGATGGAAATATTAGCTTTTATTTGAATATAATTTTTCTACCCATTGTCACGCCCTTAAGCTTATATTTGTAAAATTTATCTTTAGGAATCAATAACGCCCTAATAAGTGGGCGTGGCAATTTTTAATTATTACCACTAGATAGACAAAATTCTTCTTAATATTCATGCCAAATTTCAAAGAAATTGCTTCCGAAATGACCGAGATATTCTTAAAAAACTAAAACAGTTGTGAAGCCACCAAATTTGAAAAAATCAATTTGTCCTTTTTTTTGTAAAGTAATAGGTGAACAGAATTTACCAGTAGGTGGATTCCCATAGAGACTTTTCTTTAAAGCTTTATAACTCCTTAACTAATGAAGATAACTTCAAGGAGTTTTGGCCATATGATAGAGTGGAAATTCAGCTATTTTCTGAATATAGTTTGACCCGCCCATTGCCACGCCCACTTGGTTAAATTTTGTAATATCTCATAAAAAGGTGTACATTTCCATTATATTTGAAATTAACTGATGTTTGATGATGTCCATGGAAAGCTGATATTGTGCTCTAGCTTTGTGCCAAGTTTCAAACAAATTGCTTTTGATTTGGTCGAAATATTCAGTGAAAAACAAAATTGTTTTCAAACTAAAAATTTTCGAAAACTGTTCCAAAATCATTTTTACACTTTTCTCAATAACTTTTAAACCACAAGGGCTAACAGTATGCAACTTGTGTCTATTGATAGATTGGAATCTTAGCAAGCTCATAGGCTAACTTTTTCCGCCCACTGCCGCGCCCATCTGGGCACATTTTCTTATATATAATTAGGGCGGCGTATAAGTCCCTAATTAGGGGGCGTAACAGTTTTTAAATGTTACCGACACCTAGCCAATTTCTTTCTCTATATGTATACTAAATTTCCAAGAAATTGCTTCCGAAATGGCCGTGATATTCATAAAAAACTAAAATAGTTATGAAGCCACTAAAATAGATAAAATCAATCTGGCCTTTTTTATGAATAGGTGAACAGAATATAACAGTAGGTGAATGTATATCGGGTAAGGTGTTGCTTTGTAAACACAACCTGCTGCTCCTAGGATGGAATCTTCTTCTGGATTAACGATTTCAACAGTTGTCCTTATGCATCAAAAACTTTTGACGTTAACAACTTTAGCCTCTATCAATTAAATTATTAAAAACTTAAAAAAAATATTAATAAAACTTGATTTATTACTTAATAGAATCAATTTGCAACTTCACTTTAGTAAAAGAATTTTTGGATCAACTTAATTTTTGTATGAAAAATCGATTTTTCTATAGAAAATGCAATTTATTTAGTGAAAATTCGAAGTTTAAGTAAAAATTAGTTTTCTACTCATTTTGAAAAATCAATTTGAAAACAAAAGTTTCTTTAGTTAAAAGGCTGACCAGTATTGTCAAAATACTAAGGTGAAGAATAACTAGTTAATATTCTAAAAATCATTATCTTACCTTTGTTTTTCTGGGATGTAAAGTATTCCGAAAAGCTTCATCCATTTCAGACAAACGTTTGGTAAATACCTGAACCTGGTGATCAGGCTCTAAAATATCATCTTTTGAATCAATAAAACTATCCACGCGTGTTGGAGCGCGTTTCGAACGCAAATAGTGGAAACATTGCACACGGACCTTTACAAAATAAAATGATTAGCCATTAAATACCACTTATAAATAACAATTCAGTACCTCTAAATGTAAAACCAGCAAACATGTATTGGCCAACTCATCAAATTCCAAAGCCAAATTAGTTAAAACCTTAATAGTGCCATCATTAACCGCTACACCTGTAGTCAAGCCATTACCCAATGGTCTACGCAAATCATTGGCAAATTCTGATATACGAGCCGAAAACCATTCCATACTCTCTTGCAGTATGGCCAATTCTTTTAGAACACTAATATCGGCTAAAATCTCTTGCTGAGATATACCATCTTTGCCCAAATTACTAATTAACATTTCGGCTTCTCTTATATTACGTTGTTGTACATCAACAGGACTTTCTTCTTCTGAGGTCTCAAAAGTATTGCGATGTAATTTCTTATTTTGTTTAGTAGGAGGTTGTGTGGAATTTTTCAAATCCATCCAATTAGGTAAAGTTCTAAGAAAAAGGGAATTGTTTATAAAATATATGTATAAGAAGAAAGTTATTTAAGACTTACTTTAAAAATCTACTAATATCCTCATCTTTTAACCAGGTGACACTATAAATTCTTTTATCCTCGGTATCGGGCTGCACTATGCCACGATAAGCCGCCTGGCAGATTTCCCTATAATCTTTTAAAACCGAGCACACAGTCTTCAATAGCTCCTCCGAATAGAAAGGTAAATCTTGTATAAGTTGTTTGGTTTCTATTAAACATCTTTCAACTCTAGCCGTGGACTGTAGTATGGGCCGAGAAAGATTCATTAATTTCATTTCTTCGGGCATTATAATGGCCCGCCAAACATCTTGATTTTTCGAAAAGGTATCAATAGTCATTTGTAATTGAGAGTTATGACCCTTGGAAAGGAATGTATCCTTTATGTAGTTATCAATGAAATCATGTAGACTGCAAGGTTGCCTAGAAGGAAGAATAAGAATTTTATAAATCAGCTTTCAGATATAAAGTATTTACTGCTGCTTACCCTGGTTTACATTTCATAAAACCCTCAATTTCTTGTATGTAGCCCATTAAAGGTAAATAGACTTTTGTTATAACACCCTGATCGGGTGTACAAATCAATAGTTTTTCACGTTGTTTCTCATATGGAAGAGTTGTTTTAAAACTAGCACCACCACCTGCTTTACCGCCACTGGCATTTAAAGCCGCATTTAAATTGTCATTGGATACATCGGAAACATTGCGTCGATGCTCTTTTGTATTCTCCGTTGTAGGTGTTTTGGTGGTTGATGATTTATCAAATTTAAATAGAGATTTTTTAGTACTGTAAATGTTAAACAATATAATTAATGAAATGTTTTTTTAAAGGTTTTTTTAATTTATTAACTACTGTTATTTGTTAACATTAAAAATATTAACTAGCCGTTTATCAGGATTTATTTAAAACAGAGATCCAAAATAACTTGTCCACTTATCTAAAGTTTAAGTAGTTATTACAAGTTTTTAGTTAAAACAGAAAAATTTACCAGAAATACTTAAAAATAAATGACTTTTTTTTATTTAATTTCTATTAATCATTACTTTTTCTACAGGTTTAACTTTTAAAAACTAGGTGAACAACTTATTTTCGTTCCTTGATTCAACTCTAAAGGTTTTTATTTAAAAAAATTACCATTTATAATCAAACGGAGAACGTTTTCTTTTTAATTAGAAAGAGTTTTTAAAATATTATTAAATAAATTCTTTAAAACTCTAAAAATAAGACTTATATCAAGTTATATTTCGAAACTTTTCAAACCTATTTAAAAATCTTAATTTTGCAAATTATATTCACAACTTACCTTGGAACTTTGCGTCTTAGGAAAAATGTGTTAATATTATTAGTGGGCTCACTGTATGCAGACTGTGAAGCATCATCAGCGGAAGCATTTTGTATATCAAGATAATCGGTTAAAAGCAATTGCAGCTAAAATGAAAATAAAAGCGAGAAAAATTTATAAAATTTCAATAAAACAAGAATAAAACTAAAATTTTATTAAGTAATTTCATTAACTACATACCACCGACTGAGCTTGTGACCAAAAATCGGTTAAAGTATAATGTTGTGGTCCCACTACTTGATACTTTTGCACAACAACCAAAAAATTCTTCAAAAGCGTGGCATGAGTGCGAGCTATGGCCTTAAATTGTTTATAGATAACATCCAATAAGGTTAGCAGAGGATAACGTTCATTAGACACTATCGTATTATCAATCATTTGACGTGTGGTATTGCGCACTACTTCCAGCAATTCAGTTTGTATGCCAACACGTAATTTCTCAATGGAATCGGGTACTTTTTGCAACATACCAAAACACTCGACAATTATGGCAATAAAATAGGTCATACTTAATTCAGGATCTATAAGATCAGCATCTTCGATTATTTCGGTTTTTGAAAGATCCGCACCTTGGGCCATTTCCTGTAGAGCTTTGCGTACTCGAGCATTGGCCTCAATACGATCGGTTGAACGTCGAGCAGTGATGTTGCGTGAAAAGTTGACATTTAAACGTTGAGAATTGGAACGTTGTAAATCATTTAAAACACCATTGGCTGAACAGTTGTAGACTTGAGCCACTAATTCCTCATGCAAACGTTGGTATAAGTGTTGACGACGACCCATTAGATCGGAGCGTATATCAGCTAAACCCTCGACCTCTTTAAGCGGACCATTGACTAAGTTTAAAGCATCGGTTAGGACTTTACTGGCATGTAAATACTGGCGCTTAGAAGTATAACTAACCACACTTTGAGGCACTTTACGTAAATCGTTGCTAAATCATAATATAACAATTGTTAAAAACATTTCATTTATTTCATTTTCATTATAAACTTACATTTGTTCCAACATCACTAAAACATGTTTATGTTGCACCACATCTGTCCACATTTTCTTTAACTCCTCCCTTCTACATTGCAGTAGTCTTTTGCAGGCACTCAAATTCTCCTTAACCGCATGTATCTTCTCTCGACTGTTATTCACCTCTGTGGATACTTTAGTGAACAGGGGTATAACCTGTGATAGTTGTTGATCATGTTTCGATACCAAATCATTTAATCTTTTATCAGATTTCTTAAATTCATTTTCAATTTTAGACTTTTCTTTTTGACGTTCTTCATTGGTCTCACTGAGACCCAATGATTTAATGACATTAACAATGAGACCACAGCCAGCCTGAAAAAATTTGAATAATAAGATTTATAGTAAAATAACAACGCCCTTTAAATTGTTTAAAAGATAAACAAACTAAAATTCTATAGTATTGGCAAATTGTTCGTTTTTTTATTGTTGTTATTATTAATATAAAATAGGGGAAAGTTTGACAGCTGCTGTCAATAATGGAACGATAACAGCAACTTGTAAAATGTCATCATCACTGTGAAAACTTTCAGTCTCAATTTTCAACTTGATTTTCTTATGTTTTTACTTTAAGTTTGCACAAAACTTCATTTGTTTGAGATGGAGTATTGTTTTAGGAATATTTTGAAGTATTTTTTATAATTTTTTAATAATATTTACCTCATCTTTTCCATATTTTACACCCCTAGGAGGTTTTGTTGGTGGTGGCGGTGTAGCCATATTGCTTAACACTGAAATTTACTAGCAAAGCGATGCCAGTTGTTTGTTTCGAACTGTGACTGACAGCTTTTGTTTAATGTATGTGTTTATAAGCGAGCTGCCCAATCAATACGTTAAACTTGTGCATGAAGAAATCTTCAACTTTGGCGTATGAAAAAGAGGAGAAAGAGAGAAAAATGAGCACAAAAACAAAACTGTAAAAATTATTGTTTGTCGTTTTTCTTGTGTTTAATTGTGATTTGTGTGTGTTTTTCATATTATTAAAACATATTTCTTTATTTTTTCATATAAGTCGGCAACGCAACGCAGTTGGACGCAATGTATTGTATGGGTCTGAGTCTTTAAAGCAAAGAGATGCCAGTAGTTTTAATTAAAAATAACAAACAGTGTTGCATTTTCCGCTATTAGCAGAGACAATGTTAATTTTAAGTTGACAACAGCAATTTAAGAAACTTAAATGTTAAATATCTGTTATATATTAGTGTTTAAAAATAAAACTCTTATTATTGCTACTAATTTCTTTATTATCTTTCAAATAGTTTTATCTTTATTTGGTTTTATTTTTAATGTAAAGTTATATATTTTATATAAACATTTTTATATGTTTTTTTTTTGTTTGTTTTGACGCTTTATTATAGTTATAAATTTTCTCTAATTTCTATAAATATTAAAGGTTTTTGTTTATTTTTTTAATTTTGTGTTAAATCTTTAAAGATTTGTTATTTGGTGCATTTAAATATTTCCGGCCAACATAAAACAATAGGTGGCTTATTTTTTGCTTTAATTAGTTTGTTTTTTTTTAAATTTATTTGTATATATTAAGCATTTTTTATTTAATTAATTAACATGTGCTGAATTATACAATACATTTAATATATATTTTTGGTTTTAGTCATGATGTGTGCTGTTTCGTTTATAACTTTTATAAAATTGTAAATATTTCAAAAATTTTGAGATAATGGGGTGTTGTTTCAAACAAAAAATTAAATTTATAATTTTGAAATAAGTTTACTTTAATTCGTTTGACTTTTGCTAGATCGGGGGGTAGTTTGAACTTTAATTTTGTTTTTTTTTTTTTGAAAATCGGAGGTATTTTTAAATTACTAATGATTGTTTTTTTTTAATATTTACCTTTTTAATGAAGTAAAGTTTAAGGTGTTTTAACTATATTTTGAAAACTAAGTTAACGTTTTGAGAATTAGTAATTTTAGTTTTTATTTATCTGTGTCAAATTTTAAACTTCTCTAAACGTTTACTTGTTTAAATAAACATAAAGAAACATTCGTTATATTTTGAAAAGGGATAACTTTTAAATAATTACGTAGTACTTAGTTATGTATAAAAGTTTTTGTTGTTTAAAATAATATTCAAAAAATTAATACAATAAAACAATTAATAATAAAAATAAGAGTACATTTTATAATTACTACATTTTTCTTAAGATGCCATATAAAACATTTTAATAAAACTTTCAAAATTTCTTTGTTCTTTAAAATTTCCAAAATCTGTTTAGCATGGCATCCTAAACTTTTAATAATATCTGCTTTATTTTTTTGTAGTTGTTATTTTAATTTGTGACTACAATTTTTGACTTATTTTAAAATTTTCTCTAATTATTTCGTGTTTTAATTTTGGCAATTAATTTTAATAATAAATTGTTTAAGAATATAAATATATAATTATTTTGCGTTGTTGTTATTTTTGTTTGGTTTCTTTCATTACGTTTAAATCTTTTTTAAAAATTTATTTCTTAATATCATTGTTAATGATGCTTAAACGACGAATATTGGGTTTGTCATAGTCCTCCATGGAAATCCCTCTTGATAGTTTGCGTGTACCGTTGGTGCCATCGAACGAACCGGAACTGGTGGAAAATGCACGACCACGATCAACGCCCGGCATAATGACGGATGTTAGAAGACCTTGACCTTTGCAGAACAATAGAATCGATTGGGCGACTTTAGCGGGCTGCAAAAAGAAATAATTTAGAAAATTTTGAAATATTCTATGGCATAAAAAAGGATTTTTTGTGTAAAAGCTTTCTTAAGAAAAGCCTTTTAAAGCTTTTTTGTAAAAAAATATTTTTAAAAGTGAAACTTTAAAAAAGATTTTTGTTAAAAAAATACTTACCGCATCAGCTAAAACATCACCAGCTCTTTCAATCTTCAACATGGTGACCTTTTCCTTTTCAATATCACGATGTAATTTCTCGACCATCGAAGCATAAGGACTCAACATGCCAGTGATTAAAATGACATCAACTTTACAGCCCTTCAAAGTTAAATCCTTGCGACTAAAAAATACAAACACAAACAATTTAAAGTAATAAAATGAAAAATATTTAGAATAAATGCAAATAAAAAAGAAAACGTCATCATAAATAAATCTAAACTAAAGAAAAAAGCAAAACGTATACTTACTTCATAAATGCTTTGACATAAAGACCCACATTTTTGCTATTCAAAGTGCCTCTTAAACGTTTTTGATATTCGTTAACAATCTTCTCCTTGTCCGGATTATCGCCAACCAATTGCTATACAGCAGTTTTTGTTTTTGTGTGTTTTTATTTTTTGGTTTATTTGTTTGTATTAACAAATAAATTAAAATAATAATAGAAAAAATTTGAGAAAAAAACAGTTTTGTATGTTTTTTTGGTTGGTTGGTTTAAGTGGGGTAAGGTGGTGGTTTAAATTGGATTGGTTTGGTCATGATGAGGATGAAATAAAATAAATAAAAACATCCATCAATTAAATGAAATTAATTATCTTATAGCATACATAAAACATAAAAAAAATAAATTGCAAAAAACAACAACTACATTGACATGCAAAATTTTAGAAAATTATTGCATAAAAACACTTTAATCTTTTTTCAAGTGCTTTTAAGACATTTATGTTAAATAAATTGTAAAATAATTAATTCAAATTAATTTGTAAATATTACAATTTTATATGGTAAATCTTTTTCATGGATGTCAAGTGACTTACTATGAATGTCAGTTTGTCAATTGACATTTATAAATTTATAAACAAATGATTCTATTGGGGATTTAAAAATAAGCAACAGGAGAGGGGGCGGGGGTAGAGAAATGCAAATAATATGCTAATAACTACTAGAAAAAGAGTATATTAATAGAGATATAACTAAGGATAAAGAGAGAGAGAGAGAGAAAGAGATAATGACATTCCTATTAAAGGCCTATTATCATTAACCAGGAACCAGACTTTTAAATGTCAAAGAAAATTTCAAGTCAATACAAATAAAGAGAAATGAAATAATAGGAAATGCAAAGAAACTATATAGAAAACTGTTATATTGGAAATTGTATTTATATAACACTGTTATGCAGACGATTTTTTTATAGGAATCTGTTATACAGTATTTTTTTTTTAAAGAAAGCTGTAATATAGACAATTTTCTTTATAGAAAACTCTTATACACATAATTTTCTATATAGTAAACTGTTATACACACATTTTTTTATAACTGTTAGACTCACAATGTTCTTTATAGAAACTAAGTATTATACAGAAAATTTCCTTAATAGAAAACTGTTATACAGAAAATTTTCTTAATAGAAAATTGTCTTTATAGAAAGCTGTTATATAGACAATTTTCTATATAAAAAACTGTTATACAGATAGTTATCTTTATAGAAAACTGGTATACACACAATTTTCATTATAATAAACTGTTATACATACAATTTTCATTGTAGTAAACTGTTATACACACAATTTTTAATATAGAAAACTATTATACAGACAATTTTCTATATAAAAACTGTTATACAGAAAGTTATCTTTGTAGGAAACTGTTATAAACACAATTTTTATAAAGAAACCTGTTACATAGACAATTTTCTTTATAGAAAACTGTTATACAGATAGTTTTATGTATAAAAAATTGTTATGCACTCATTTTTTATTAGAGTAAACTGTTATACACACATTGTTTTATATAAATAACTGTTATACAAACAATTTACCTTATAGAAAACTGTTATACAGAAAATTTCCTTAGTGCAGAATGCTGTTATACAGACAATTTTCTATATAAAAAACTCTTATACAGATAGTTATCTTTATAAGAAACTGTTATAAGCACAATTTGTTTATAGACAACTGTTATACACACAATTTACATTATAGTAAACTCTTAAACACACAATTTTCATTATATACACAATTTTCAATTAGAAAACTATTATACAAAAATGTTTCTATATAGAAAACTGAAAAACAGTTATAAAAACAATTTTCTTGATCGAAAACTGTTATAGAGAAAATTGTCTTTATCAAAAACTTTTCTTCATAGAAAACTGTTATACATTAAATTTTCTTTATATAAAACTGTTATACAAACAGTTTTCACTTTTACACACAATTTTCAATAACGGAAACTGTTGTAGAAAAATGATATACACAAAATTTTCTCTATAGAAAACTGTTATAAAGAGAACTTTCTTTATAAAAAACTGTTATAAAGACAATTTTCTTAATCGAAAACTATTATACATACAATTTTCATTTAGTAAAACTGTTATACACGCAATCTTCATTATAGAAAACTGTTATACAAAAGTTTTTCTATATATAAAAGTGTTATACATAAAATTTTTTTATAGGAAACTGTTATACATACAATATTCATTATGGAAAACTGTTATACACACAATTTTCGATATCAAAAACTGTTATAGAAATTTTTCTATATAAAAAAACCAAATTTTCTTTATTGAAAACTGTTATAAAGACAACATTCTTTATAAAAAACTGTTATGCACACAATTTCCAATACAACAAAAACTGTTATACATACAATTTTACTTATATGAAACTGTTATACTCACAACTTTTTATATAGAAAACTGTTATACACACCATTTTCTCTATAGAAATCAGTTTTACACAAAATTTTCTTTATATTAAACTGTTATACAGAAAGTTCTCTTTATAGAAAACTGTTATACACACAATTTTTGAATTAATTTAAGTGGAAACAAATGAAAACAATACAATTTTGAAATATATTTAATGTAATAAGAAAATTGAGGTTAAAAAAAGGACATTTCGAAACTATGAAGAAAGAAGCTTTTACTTTAAACTAGCAACAATGAACTGATATTCATAAAATGTTTCCAATGAAAGAATGTTTCTAAAATCTAGTCTAAATAATACTAGCTAAAAGTTTAAAATGGAAAATGTTTTTTTAGAATAAAAAAGCTTATTTTAAAAAAGTTTAACACAATACCTCCATAACCTGGGTAAAAGGGAATTGATTGTATTTTTTTGTATGGTTAAAGGTAATAAATTGTGTTAAAATTTATAACCACAATATTAAAACAAAAAGAATATGTGAAAAATAAATTTTTAAATAAAAAATTATATATTTTTTGTTTAAAAAAAAAGAGAGAAAGAAAAAAAAAAAAAGAATAAAATACACAATTATACACACACGAAAATATAGAGTATATTAACAAAATAATATAATAAGTAAACGAATAGCGGTGTTTACAATTGGAACCGCAGCCACAAATAGAATGAAAAAAAAAAAAACTGTTATACAAACAATTTTCCAAGTAGAAAACAATTTTACAAAGATTTTTCGATGTAGAAATCTTTTATACTTACAATTTTCCATATAGAAAACTGTTGTCTATAAAGAAAACTGTTATACAGACAATTTTCTTTAGATAAAACTGTTATACGGACTATTTTCTTTAGACAAAACTCTCATGCATATAATTTCCTTAATAGAAAACTGTTATATCAACAATTTTCTATATGGAAAACTCGGAAACTGACAAATTTCTTTAGAGAAAACTGTTAAACAGACAATTTGCTATAAAAAACTGTTATACTGACAATTTTCTATATATAAAACAGAGATTTTTCGACGTAGAAATCTTTTATACGTACAATTTTCCATATAGAAAACTGTTATACTTAATTATCTATAAAGAAAGCTGTTATACAGACAATTTTCTTTAGATAAAACTGTTATAAGGATTGTTTTCTTTAGAAAAAACTCTCATGCTTATAATTTCCTTAATAGAAAACTGTTATATCAACAATTTTCCAAATGGAAAACTCGAATACTGACAAATTTCTTTAGAGAAAACTGTTAAACAGATAATTTGCTATTAAAAACTGTTATACTGGCAATTTTCTATATATAAAACTGTTATATTGACAATTTTCTTTAAAGAAAACTGTTATATTGACAATTTTCGTTAAAGAAAACTATTATATTGACAATTTTCTTTAAAGAAAACTGTTATACCAGAAAATTTCTACATAAAAAACTGTTAAACTGTTTCTTTAGAGAAAACTGTTATACAGGCAATTTTCATTAAAGAAAACTTTTATATCAGTAATTTTCTATATGTAAACTGTTAAACAGACAGTTTGGTGTAAAGAAAACTGTTATATTGACAATTTTCTTTAAAGAAAACTGTTATAACAGCAATTTTCTTTAAAGAAAACTGTTATAACAGCAATTTTCTTTATTGAAAACTGTTACACAGACAATTTGCCTTATAAAAAACTCTTATACAGACTATATTTTTGATAGAAAACTTTAAAACAAACATCCATTACAAATGTGTACAATCGCCAGCTGCTTGTGGCTAGCAGTTCCAATTACAATCACGCTGCTAAAAGTTGCATTAAAACACTGTTTATTTAAAATTTTAGTTTTTCTTTTATAAAAATTTAATTCAATTATAAGATTGAAAAACAATTCAAAACCAATATTAATGGAAAAATTAATACTATTAACTTTTTTTATAGAATATTTTAATTATTGCTTTAAACTAATAAAAAAAACAACATTTATTTATTATATTATTTTGTTTTTACAACCACCAATAAAAGTAAAAAGTACTTTTGATTAAACATTTATAAAAACGCTTAAATATATTATATAATATAGAATATAAATTAAACTTTTAAACAACTTACATGACCAAATTTATGATACATCAAAAAACTTTCAGCCGATTGAGCCACTTCATCATTTTTCCATTGTATAAGCTATGAGAATAAAATAAGAAGAAGAAAAAACAAATATTAAATTGAAATATTTAAAACTTTAATTAACTTGATTCTTTTTAATCAAATACCCATCAATTTCAATAAAACGTAACAATTTACCTTCGATTTAAATGATTGCATTACAGTGGCTGCACTTCCGGTTGCATTGATGAGAATCAAACCCAAGACGCGTGTTGGATGTGCCAAACCAAAACGGGCCAATACATTGGCACCAGCACCCTCACCCAAACCAATGACATATTTAACATGAAGAAAATCCAAAACCGTAACTAAATCTTCACCCAACATTTGCAATGAGGGAAACTGGAAACTGTATGATGATGATGATGATGGTGGCGGTGATGATGACGACGATGGTGGTGGAAATTTTAAAATGGTATTAGAAAAAAAGTATGTGGTTTTATTAATTGATATAATGACACATATTGTTTGTTATTTAAAGAAACCACAAAACTTATTGGAGCGATAAATAGTTTGTGTGTTTTCTTCTACTTTAACATTTACTTACCTTTCAGGTAATGCATCAGCATTATCGGCATGTCCTGGTACATCGATGTGTATGAAACATGAACGTTCCTTAATTTCTGTCATACATGGACTATTGACAAATTCCTGGAAGGAATTATCTGAAATCATAAGAATTAAAGATTAAAAGGGGAAGGACTAGAGACACATTTATTTCCCTCAATAACTCAGGACTAAAGAGTCGTAAACTAGAAATGCTGATCCTTTTATTTCGCCCCAGAACTCGTTTTTCAGACTTAAAACATAAATTGCCATTTTTCTTGGAAACTAAAGACATTTATACCAATATTAATCTTAGTTCTTTTCCAGTTCTCTCCAACTGCATTTTAACTGACACAAAATACACACACACTCACACATTTAGTGAGTAACTGTTCCCCATAATTAAACACATTTTATAAAATAATTAACGTATGTGCTTTATTAAAAACATAGACAGACATTCTTTGTGATTACTGATAAATGATGTTATGTGTTGCAAAATCTTAAACCATTTGTCTTCCTCATGGACTCAAACTAAGTGAAAAATCTTTACAAATTAACATTATAATCCAGTAACATTTTGTTCTTAAGGTCACGTCTGTTATAATACTATTTTATGAATAGAAGCAACTCCTGGTGGTCACATATAAAAATGAAACATGTTTAACATAAAAATATTTTAAGGTTAAACGAAAGGAGTGGGAACAGAGAAAACTGTTATACAGTTAATGTTCAATAAAGAAAAACGGCTAAGTTGGTAATTTACTTACAGAAAACTGTTATACAGATAACTTTTCACTTAAAAAAGTGTTATATAGGAAATTTTCTAAATAGAAAACTGTTTTACAAAGAATTTTCTATAAAGAAAACTTGTATATGGTAATTTTTTATAAAGAAAACTTTTCTAAACAGAAAACTGTTATATGGATAATTTTCTACATGGAATACTCTTATATAAAGAATTTTCTGTATAGAAAACTGTTATAGTAACAATATACAATAGAAAACTGTTATAGTAAGTGTTATACAAAGAAATGTTTGTATAGAAAACTGTTATACAAGCAAATACAAAGAATTTTGTATAGAAAATATTTATATATACATTTATGCAAACAAATTTTCAATTTAAAAAACTGTTATACATAAAATTTCTATGCAGATAACTGTTATACAAACAATTTTCTACAAAAAAAACTGTTACACAATCAAATTTCTATATAGAAAACTATTACAGAAATATATAATAAAAAAAAAACTGTTATACAGACAATTTTCTATGTATATGGAAAACTGTTATACAGACAATTGTTATACAGAAAATTTTCTATATAGAAAACTATTATACATACATTATTCAAACAATTTTCTATGTAAAAAACTGTTATATATAAAATTTTCTACTAAAAAACTGTTATAAAATCAAATTTCTATACAGAAGACTATTATATAAACATTATTATATAAAAAACTGTTATACAGACAATTCTCTATATAGACAATTTTCTACATAGAAAACTGTTATACATACATTATTCAAACAATTTTCTATGTAAAAAACTGTTATGCAAACAAATTTCTATATAGAAAACTCTTATACATACAATTTTCTAAGTAGAAAACTGTTATACAAACAATTTTCTATATAGAAAACAATTATAGAAACATTATTATATAAAAAACTGTTATACAGACAATTCTCTATATAGAAAACTGTTATACATAGAATTTTCCATGTAGAAAACTGTTATACAGAACATTTTCTAAATAGAAAACTATTATACAGACAATTTTCTATATAGAAAACTGTTATTTAGACAATTTTCTATATAGAAAACTGTTATTTAGATAATTTTCTACATAGAAAACTGTTATACATACATTATTCAAACAATTGTCTATGTAAAAAACTGTTATGCAAACAAATTTCTATATAGAAAACTCTTATACATATTATTTTCTAAGTAGAAAACTGCTATACAATAAAATTTCGATATAGAAAACTATTATAGAAACATTATTATATAAAAAACTGTTATACAGACAATTCTCTATATAGAAATCTGTTATACATAGAATTTTCCATGTAGAAAACTGTTATACATTAAATATTCTATATAGAAAACTGTTACAGAGACATTTTTCTATATAGAAAACTGTTATACAGACAATTTTCTATATAGAAAAGTGTTATACAGACAATTTTCTGTATAGAAAACTGTTATACAGACAATTTTCTATATAGAAAAGTGTTATACAGAAAATTTTCTATATAGAAAACTGTTATACAGAAAATTTTTTATATAGAAACTGTTATACAGACAATTTTCTATATAGAAAACTTTTATGCAAACAAATTTCTATATACAAAACTCTCATGGAAACATTATTCTATAAAGAAAACTGTTTCTATATAGAAAACTGTTACACAGACAATTTTTTATATAGAAAACTGTTACACAGACAATTTTCTATATAGAAAACTGTTATACAGACAATTTTCTATATAGAAAACTGTTATACAGACAATTTTCTATATAGAAAACTGTTATACAGACAATTTTCTATATATAAAAGTGTTATACCGACAATTTTCTGTATAGAAATCTGTTATACCGACAATTTTCTATATAGAAATCTGTTATACAGACAATTTTCTATATAGAAAACTGTTATACAGACAATTTTCTATATAGAAAACTTCTATATAAAAAACTATTATGGAAACATTATTCTATAAAGAAAACTGCTATAAAAGCAATTTTTTTTAAAGAAAAATCAGTTATACAAACAATTTTCTATATAAAAACATAAATTTTATATATAGAAAACTTTTATATGAATACTTTTCTATATAAAAAAACTGTTATACTGAAAATTTCTGTATAGAAAAACCTTAAATTTTCACTATAAAAAGTTGCAACACAGACTCTTTTCTTTATAGAAAGTGTTAAACAGACAAATTTTATATTTTTCTCAAATTCATCTAATCGCTGTCCTTAAAATATTCATACAAAATACGAACAACTGCAAAAAGTAATAAAAGAAAAAATACTTACGATTACAACCCAGATCATGGACAGTAATAAAAACAGCACGTTTTTCTTGTTGTGTCAAATCTCCCTGTTTAAATTTTGAAGCACATAAAGAAAAGAAAATAAAAAAGATAAAATATAAAATATAAAGAAAAAGAAAATAGTATATTAATAGTTTTCTTGGCAAAAATAAATATAAAATACCCAAATAATTAAAAAAAAATAAACAAATACAAATAATTTCAACATACCTGTACCGTTACAGTAAGCTCACCACTTTTATCCGTATTTACAATGTATTTCTATAGAAAGTACACAGAAAGAAAAGAATGAGTAAAAAAAAATTGCCAATCATCATAAACAAATATGTATGCAAACAAATAGGTTAAGTGGGATTATAAAGGTTTCACTAGGAAAAAAGTGCATACGTTAAATAAATACATAATATCATTGAAGCTATTTGGCTAAAAAGCTAAAATACATATAAAAATATGTATGTATGTATGTGGGGGAAAAGTAACCAATTTATAAGAGGCTATGAAATGACCAAGATGAGTTATATACTTTTTCGCTTGCAGCTATAGTAGTTTGATATTTGATTTGTATTGAAATGTTTAAAATTATTTTTGTTTTTGCACAAATAATTTGCTTGTAACAACTTACCCCTGTTCATTTTAAGCTATGGTTTTTATTAATAAAATACTTTTTTATTTGGCTTTTGAAAAAATAAACCCTTTAAATGTTTTTACAAGTTTACCCTTTTTTTCAGCAAACTGTTAATTTAGAAATTGAATGGGGAATATGTGTGTATGTAGAACATCAACTTTATCGTTAGGTGTATTGAGACTAAATAAAATGAATAAAAACTTTTTTAAAAGTTTTAGCCACGAAATTTGCAAAACCTTATTTTTTTTTGCTGTAAATTAGAGATGACAAAAGGGTGGTAATACTAAAAAATTCTTTAAATTTTTTAGCTAATTTTTAATTTAAAACTTTAAAATTATTAAAATTATCTTTCAACTTAATGTTACAGCAAGAAACACGCTTAAATAAGTCTAATACTTATCATCTCTAATCTGGTAACTTTGCTGATTATCCTATTACCTTAAATGTCAAGTTGAAATAATATTGCCATACCTTGCCACAAAACGTTTAAGTATTTTCTGTTTACTTAATTTAAATTTCATAAAATAACTATAAATCATCATTATTTTAATAACAATTTTTAAACTATTACTTATATTAAACAAAACATGTTGTTGTTTTATATATTCTTCTTTTTGTTTCTTTTAATAAATTGATTTTTATTGCCATTTCACAATTCAATGAAATTGAAAAAAAGTTTTTTCTTTTTAATTTTCTTAATTTCTCCACCTTTTTTTACAGTTATTTTTATTGTTATTTTGTTTTTTTGCAACTGCAAGTACAACTCAATTGAAATGTCAATAACGTAGTGTGTGTGTTTACGAATGCAACAATAAATTGTAAACAAACGTCATAAACCATTTAAGTGAGACTTGTCTCTTAAATTCGCTTTTTAATTAAAAGTCAGGCACACATGTGTGTTGTTTGATTGCCGATTTTTTCTCGAAAAAAGTTTCCAAAAGGTTTACCACAGCAGGGTTGGAAAATTTGATGTTTTTTGTAAACAAAATAATATTTGAAGGTTAATGTTAAAAAGAGAAAAGAAAACTGTAGTCAGTTTTCATAATATATCATTATAAATCATTTTCTATATAGAAAACTGTTATACAGACAATTCGTTATACAGGAAACTTAAACACACACACACACACAATATTATATATCGAGAACTGTTTTCCATATATGTGTAACTGTTATACAATTTTCAATACAGAAAACTGTTAATACAAACAATTTTTGTATTGAAAACTGTTATATATACAATTTTCTATATGAAAACTATTATACAGACTACTTTCTGTATGGAAAACTGTTATACCTAAAATTTTCAATATAGAAATGATTTACACAGGCAAATTTCAATATAAAAAACTGTTATACAGACAAATTTTAATATAGAAAACTGTTATACAGACAAATTTTAATTTTAATATAGAAAACAGACAATTTTATGTATATAAAACTGTTATACAAACAATTTTCTATATTAAAAAACTCTTATACACACAATTTTCTATATGAAAAACTGTTCTATGTACAAAGCTGATATATTTTCTATTTATATAAAGAAAACTGTTACACTGACAATTTTCTATAAAGAAGACTGTTATACAGAAAATTTTCAGTTATAAGAACAATTATTTTTATATAGAAACTGTTAATCAAACAATATTCAGTGTCAAAAACTGTTATACAGACAATTTTCTATACAGAAAACTGTTATACAATTTTCTATATATAAAACTGTTATACAGACAATTTTCCATATAGAAATGTACTTTAAGAACAATTACCTAAAAAGAAATTTTTCTATAAAGAAATCATTTCTGAAATGAATTTTCTATTTAAAAAATATAAACAATTTTCCATATAAAAACTTTTATACAGATAATTTTCTTTATAGAAATCTATTATACTGAAAATTTCTTTAAGAAAACTTTTTCTTACTCGAAAGTTTTCTATATAAATTAAAGTTCAATGAAATAATAAGTAAGAAAAATACAATCATATGAACATTTCCATGCCTGATTAACATAAATTAATGTAGGTAACGCAAAAAAGGCACATGTTTTCTTCTTAATTATTGTTTTTGTAGGCTGTTAATAAATGATGAAAATATAACAAAATAACGATATTAGATATAGGAATATCATTATAACATGAAAATGCTTATTAACACAATGTAAGCATTCATTCTGTATAATATTATCGCACAGAACTTATTATTATTTAATTTGTAGCAAAATCTAATGGAATGCAACAATAAAAGAAAAAAATTAAATGTAAACTTTAAAAAATCTATAGTTTTTGTATTAATACAATGTATTTACAAATAAACATTATTTTAAATTAAATTTTCCTTCAAGTACTTTCACTATCTTACAAATTATATTTTCGCTGTCAAAACTTTAAATTACCAACAAAAACCTTAACAACATAAATGTATATTATTTTTTGTACTGCCTCAGGAAAGAGCCCGTGTTTTGTGTAGCGTTACAAACGTTTTATTAACTTTTATAATTTGTCTTATAATTTGATTATAGGGGAAGGACAATAAAAAAAAAATTGTCAAAAAGAAAAATTAGCGTATAACACGTCTGCCACTGACATTTTACGTTTAAGTTTTCGGTATTTTGTTTAGATGCAACCTTTCTCATACTTAAATATTTTTCTCTGACTATTTGGTTTAGTTATTTAAAGTACCATAAATAATTTTAAAATCATTACTTTTGTTTTTTCTTGGTTCTTAGCATATTTAATCTTGCTAAGATTTCAACATAATTTTTTATGGTTGAAAAGATTTTAAAGGAGCAAAGTGAAGAAGGCAGAGTATGAAATGAATTGAAATATTTATGTGAGATAAAGAAATTAAGTTAAAAAATGTTTTCAACTTTATTATTTATAAAAATATTTAAAATAGATTACAAGTTACTATGAGCAGTGCTGCCAGATGGTACACTAGGGCGTATGAGTAAGAAATACCACTCATACGCTGTGATGTATTTTTCTCTAAGTTTTTAATTAAAGCGGGAAATATTGGATTTGATGCATAGACGGAATCTATCTATCTATCTATCTATCTATCTATCTATCTATCTATCTATCTATCTATCTATCTATCTATCTATCTATCTATCTATCTATCTATCTATCTATCTGTCTACCTGTCTATCTGTCTATCTGTCTATCTGTCTATCTATCTATCTATCTATCTATCTATCTATCTATCTATCTATCTATCTATCTATCTATCTATCTATCTATCTATCTATCTATCTATCTATCTATCTATCTATCTATCTATCTATCTATCTATCTATCTATCTATCTATCTATCTATCTATCTATCTATCTATCTATCTATCTATCTATCTATCTATCTATCTATCTATCTATCTATCTATCTATCTATCTATCTATCTATCTATCTATCTATCTATCTATCTATCTATCTATCTATCTATCTATCTATCTAAAGAATTCATAACTTTTAAACTCTGGTCTATAACAATTACTCTATCAGACTTGTCAGACATTAAAACTTATTTATACGGTAAATATTTTACCCAAGAATTGTTGAAAACACTAGGGTACGTTTGTTGCTGTAAATGTTGTAACAATTTTAAAAGGATTAAAATAGAAATTTCAACGCTTCATTGCAAATGGGTAAATTATATATTTGTAAAGTGAATTGTGCTTCTTCTTTTTCTTTTTAAATATTGTCTTCTTCTTCTGTTTTTTTTATCTATAGACAAATGACACTTGTAAAATTTCTGTTTACATTTTGTTGTATCGATATGTTTGCACTTGTGTGTATGCTTGTGTTTATGTTTGCTGTCCTCTATTGTTTTGTTTTGATTGAAACTGTTTGATTACAATTGCGACCACACAAACACAGACGTTAAGAAATTTACTTACAGTATGTTTGTAAAAATGAAAATTCACTTTAAAGCTGGTGTTATTAGTAATAAAATTTTAATTTTACTATACTTTCCACAAATTCTTTAAATTTTTCACTAAATTTTTGGCTTCATAACTTTATTATTTTGTAATTATTCTGAGAAATGTGAGAGTAAAATTGGCCAACCCAGTTTAAAATGAAAATAATATTGTTGACTTTAATTTTAATACCTTGTCGAAAACATAAATGGAAAAAGTTGTCAATGAATGAGAATAGAAATGGTCAACGAAGAAAATAAATGAAAATGGTAGACGACAACTTTATTTTATTATAAAGATGAAGAATAGACAGACATAATTTATTGTTAATAATAAATAACTTAATCAAATAAGTTATGATAATTATGAAGTTTATTTTGTATTGAAAGAAAATAGAACGCAGGGCAAATAATGATTATGACGTTTGACGTTAAGAGAAGGGCGATTGACATTTAATATTTACTTTTAAATGTTGTTTTAAAATTGAAAATGGTTTTCAGTTTTGAAAATAAAGTTCAGTTTTATGTAAGTAAATAAAATTCAATTTGCTATTAAAGAAAGTAATGTTTAAGGCTCGAGGAAAGATTGTAAATAAATATTTTGAATAGACAAATTGTCTTTTGATAGGAAAAAACAACATTGGTTTTAAAAAATAGTATATTTGTTAAAGAAATGTACTTTATGGGAGAGCAAACTTTTTCAAATTTTAATATATCAATTACATACTTTTTTATGAAAATTAAATCTGAAACTTTACAAAATTTCAAACGTAATGTTGAAAATGGCAAAAGGAACATTATTTACAAGATATTTTTAAAGATGCTCTCACTTTAACTACAAATTAGTTTAAATTAAACTAAAATTTTGTAAAAACATAAAAAATATTCTGAAAATTTTGAAAATTACAACTTATAGGTTAACTTTCTAGCAATTTGACTAAATTTTCATTAACATTAAAGTAAAACAAATAAATATTAACGCACCTCTGTTTGTTCTTTGACAAGACAAAAACTGCCGTTATATTGCGAACCAGGCAACATGTAAAAAAAGAGAGAATACGTCAAATTGAAAATTGTATGACGTCTAATTAAACTGTCAACCTAACATCACACTAGTATTTAAAAGTTAATTTAATTATAAAAAAAAAAAACAAAAACACACACATAAATATAGCTTAAGTCAGCAAAAAAAAAAGCTATAAAAGTATTTACTAATAAAGAAAATAAAAGAAAAAAACAATGTATATAAATACAAATTAACAATAAATAAAAATAACAATGTGTAACAAGACAAGAAGGATATTGCCATTAAATGAAACGAAACATTATATGAAAACTTAACATATAAATAAACAAACCTACGTAAACAATGTTAGCAGCAACTTTTTTATATAAACAATTTAGCAACAAAACACATATTGTATGTGTACAAAACAAAATTAAATATTTTGTTTAACTTGTTGATTTTTTTCCAAATATGTTTATTTTCATAAAACACCCTTAAAACGGTTCCAATTGCAGCCTCAACTACTGTCGACAAAAAGTATTTTTACAGACCTAAACGGCCTCAATTGTAATCAAACTGTTTTTCCAACATTTTTCCTAAACTTAAGTTAAAGTGTGAGAGAGCTAGACAGATAGATATTTTCTGCGTGAGTTGCCACTGTTTGTAGCGTGTCTGTTTTAATAGTAAACAATAACCATTTAATAAATATAAACACAAAGCTAGAGCAACAGCAACAAAACAACGAAACAATAAGTAAACAAATAAATTAAGTAATAAAAATTAACTGTTACTGCTCTCACACTCTACTTTTTTAGGTAAACACAACAAGTGAATAGCAATGTTGCCAATTTCGTTAAGAAAAGAAACTGGACTAGACTAGATTATAGACTAGACTATGGACTAGAGTATAGAATAGAGAATAGACTAGAGAATAGACTAGAGTATAGACTAGAGTATAGACTAGAGTATAGAGTATAGACTAGAGTATAGACTAGAGTATAGACTAGAGTATAGACTAGACTATAGACTAGCCTATAGACTAGACTAGACTAGACTAGACTAGACTATAGACTAGACTATAGACTAGACTATAGACTAGATTATAGACTAGACTATAGACTAGACTATAGACTAGACTATAGACTAGACTATAGACTAGACTATAGACTAGACTATAGACTAGACTATAGACTAGACTATAGACTAGACTATAGACTAGACTATAGACTAGACTATAGACTAGACTATAGACTAGACTATAGACTAGACTATAGACTAGACTATAGACTAGACTATAGACTAGACTATAGACTAGACTATAGACTAGACTATAGACTAGACTATAGACTAGACTATAGACTAGACTATAGACTAGACTATAGACTAGACTATAGACTAGACTATAGACTAGACTATAGACTAGACTATAGACTAGACTATAGACTAGACTATAGACTAGACTATAGACTAGACTATAGACTAGACTATAGACTAGACTATAGACTAGACTATAGACTAGACTATAGACTAGACTATAGACTAGACTATAGACTAGACTATAGACTAGACTATAGACTAGACTATAGACTAGACTATAGACTAGACTATAGACTAGACTATAGACTAGACTATAGACTAGACTATAGACTAGACTATAGACTAGACTATAGACTAGACTATAGACTAGACTATAGACTAGACTATAGACTAGACTATAAACTAGACTATAGACTAGACTATACTATAGACTAGACTAGACTATAGACTAGACTATAGACTAGACTATAGACTAGACTATAGACTAGACTATAGACTAGACTATAGACTAGACTATAGACTAGACTATAGACTAGACTATAGACTAGACTATAGACTAGACTATAGACTAGACTATAGACTAGACTATAGACTAGACTATAGACTAGACTATAGACTAGACTATAGACTAGACTATAGACTAGACTATACTAGACTATAGACTAGACTATAGACTAGACTATAGACTAGACTATAGACTAGACTATAGACTAGACTATAGACTAGACTATAGACTAGACTATAGACTAGACTATAGACTAGACTATAGACTAGACTATAGACTAGACTATAGACTAGACTATAGACTAGACTATAGACTAGACTATAGACTAGACTATAGACTAGACTATAGACTAGACTATAGACTAGACTATAGACTAGACTATAGACTAGACTATAGACTAGACTATAGACTAGACTATAGACTAGACTATAGACTAGACTATAGACTAGACTATAGACTAGACTATAGACTAGACTATAGACTAGACTATAGACTAGACTATAGACTAGACTATAGACTAGACTATAGACTAGACTATAGACTAGACTATAGACTAGACTATAGATAGACTATAGACTAGACTATAGACTAGACTATAGACTAGACTATAGACTAGACTATAGACTAGACTATAGACTAGACTATAGACTAGACTATAGACTAGACTATAGACTAGACTATAGACTAGACTATAGACTAGACTAGAGACTATACTAGACTAGGACTATACTACTATAGACTAGACTAAACAGGACTATAGACTAGACTATAGACTGACTATAGACTAGACTATAGGACTAGACTATACGAGACTATAGACTACATAGACTAGACTCTAGACTAGACTATAGACTGACTATAGACTAACTATAGATAGACTAGACCTAGAAATATCGACTAGATTAGACTAGACTACTACTCTAGACTAGACTATAGACCTAGACTATAGACTAGAATATAGACTAGAATAGAGACGAGAATATAGACTAGAAATATAGGTCTAGACTATAGACTAGACTATAGACTAGACCTATTGTTAATATTGAGTGTTTTAAAAAAATCTCTATTAAATGAACAAATTTAATGCAGATTCCATTAAAGTTTAACAAATTTAAAAATTTTACTTAAATTTCGTTATTAAATTGATTTGTCGATTAAGTATGTATGTATATCGAAAATATTGCTGACTTATCATTCCATTCTTTTCATTCAATGTTTTTAAATTAATGCTCGCTCCCCATAGCGGAGGTTTCACTAGTTGTTGAAGTACATTTTATTCATTTTTATAGTTTTTTAATTGACTTTTAATGAAAACTGTAACAATTACATATTTTTCCCTTTTATATCGTTGTTTTCTTCTTCGTTTATTTTATTTTATTTTATTTTACATGATGACTCGCTATAAAATGAAGATAAATGTTTTTCATACTATGTATAGTTATTGTATTGAATAATAATAACAACAAGAACAATGCATATTGTTTTATTTATTGCAAATTTTGTATTTTATAAAAAAAAAAAAAATTCATAACAATTTTATTAAAATTTGTTGCTCTTGATATTGTATTGTTTTTTTTTTTGTTATTGTCGTTGCCAATGTTTAAACAAGTTATATAAAAGCAACAATAATAACAACAACTTTTTTTTAGATGAATTTTGCATAAATTTATTAACACGAGTAGTAGATAGTTTTTTGGTATGAAAGAAATTTATGTGTCAAAATGGAAATATTTCCATTTCGTTGGTTCTTTTTATGCTACGTACCCTTTTTTAGAAACTTTGTAATATCCTTGCAGTCCTTCTGAAATGAAGAGTAACTATGTATCTATTTTTCTCTAGTCCTGTGACTAGTCTCCTACTAGTTCTATACATATAAAACGCTAAATTGTCTGTTTGATAAGAATAATGTCAATTAGCACTTCATAACTAACATAATTTCTTAATTTTCAAGTCATAATTTATAACTGATTCCTTTCACACAGTCCTGTAAATAGTCCCCTAAACACTGCCACTTACTACCGGTCTGCAAAGTATATAGCAAAGTGTGTTTTTTCATTGTGCGTAGAAATTATTAGATTTTACCACTACTCTAACTACTATAATATTTATTGTGTATGTGACTTTATGGCAGTTATTTTGGAAATGTCAGAATGTCAGAAAAAGGATAAAAATGTATGAATAATTGTAGGCTTATACTGGTTTGTAAGACAAATAAACACATATACAAACAAATGTATAATAAAAATAATAATTATTATTAATAAATTCATTATGATTATGTCATAATAATGACCACTAGTAGAGCTGGGGTTTGGAGTGAGGGTGCAGTAGAAGCAAATGTTAGATATTAAATTGTAACTTGTAGTTAAAAGTAAAATATTATAAAGCTAGATGATTTAGCTTGATTCATGATTGTAGAGAAATATCCTGGATTTTGCAGACTATATTTTAAAATATAAACTTGACTATAGTCCTTGTATACAATACTACAGTCCATAATATAGGCTAGATTATAGTGCAGGCTATAAACTAGTCTATAGTCCAAGACAACTCTATAGTCCATAACTACAGATTAGACTAGACTATAGACTTGACCATAGACTAGACTATATACCTAGCTATAGACTAGACTGGACTAGACTATTGGCTATAATATAGACTAGACTATAGACTAAACTATGGAATATACTATAAACTAGACTATAGACTAGGCTGTAGACTAGACTACAGACTTGAATATAGATTAGACTACAGACTAGAATATAGACTAGACTACAGACTATATTATTGACAAGACTATAGTCTAGTCCATTGTTTAGTCTATAGTCTACTCTAGTCTATATTATAGTCTATAGTCTAGTCTATAGTCTAGTCTATAGTCAAGTCTATAGCCTAGTCTATAGTCTAGTCTATAGTCTAGTCTATAGCCTAGTCTATAGTCTAGTCTATAGTCTAGTCTATAGTCTAGTCTATAGTCTAGTCTATAGTCTAGTCTATAGTCTAGTCTATAGTCTAGTCTATAGTGTAGTCTATAGTCTAGTCTATAGTCTAGTCTATAGCCTAGTCTATAGTCTAGTCTATAGCCTAGTCTATAGTCTAGTCTATAGTCTAGTCTATAGTATAGTCTATAGTCTAGTCTATAGTCTAGTCTATAGTCTAGTCTATAGTCTAGTCTATAGTCTAG